ATGTTACCCCCTCCCTATCCGCATCTCCAGCATGTGTCCCTGATGGTGTTGTATGCCTTGTCTAGTTTCGAAGGTACCATATACCATCTCGTTAGAATCTTCCTAATAAGTTTGATTTGGGACACGCAGTGGGTGAAAGTTTTATGTGCATTAAAGGCTGTGAGCCATTTTTCTCGTGGTATGACAATTCCCAATTCCCTTTCCCATGCTGATGTGTTAGTCGGTAGCTGCGCTGTGTAGGCTTTCGTCAATGAGTCATAACATGCTGATATCACTCTCTTTTTGGGTAGTTGACCTATACACATTTTCTCAATAGTTGACATGTTGTGGTGCTGGTTCTCGATCCCTGGTGTCCTGTGTTGTAAGTGATGTGTTAGTGATTGTATTTGAAGGTATGATATTTACAATCCTTTGGGGATGTCATGGTTCGAACACAGTTGCGTAAACTGGGCTAGGGAGTCACCTGTCCATATATTATGCAGATGCGTGAGACCTCGACTTTCCCATCCTCTGCTGTCAAAGGTTGGGGCGAGGTGTCTGAGACATCGGAGCGGCGTGGCCAGGGAGAGCGGGGTTCTAGAGAGGAATGATTGTTTATGGTTGCCCCATATTTTTAGCATTACTGCTGTCATAGGCAGCAGGTTATGTGTTTTAGGGCGGAAGGCTTTGGGTATCCAGAGTAGGAGGTGGATCCCCTCTGGAAGAGACCAGTGGGATTCTATGTCTGCCCAAGGTGGGCCCTTATTACAGTCATGTGTGCTAATGGCCTGTGAAATTAGTGTGGCCTTGTAATATGCGTGAATGTCTGGGCATCCCAGTCCTCTCTCCTCAAGTTTTTTATATGTCATCAATTTGGGAATTCTGGCTTTGCGTTGGTCATTTATAAAGCAATCTATCTGTCTTTGTAGGGTGGTGAAGAATGGCTTAGGGATGTCTATTGGTAGGGATCTAAATAGGAATTGAAGTTTAGGGAGCAGCATAATTTTGAAGGCTGCTGCGCGCCCCATCCAGGAAATGTATATGCCCTTCCATTTTTCCATTTGTGTTCTAATGGCTGTGTCCGTTTTTGTGTAGTTAGCTTTGTGGAGATTTCTAGGGCATTTGATGATTGCTATCCCTAGGTATGTGAGGTGGTCAGACCTCCAGTCCAGGTCATGGTGTTGTTTTAGTGTTTGTAGCAGTGCTTGGGGTATATTGATTGGCAATGCCTGTGTTTTAGTTTTGTTGAGTTTGTAGTATGAAATTCTACCGTACGCGTCTATTAAGTCCATAAGGGCTGGGAGGGAGGTCTCCGGTTCTGTAATGGTTAAGAGCACGTCGTCGGTGAAGAGGCTAAGCTTATGTTCGGTCTTACCTATGTGTACCCCTTTAACGTTTTCGTTTGCACGATTTAGAGTTTCCAAGGGTTCGAGTAGTAGGGGTGAGAGGGGGCACCCTTGACGTGTGCGGTTGGTGATGGAGAACCTCTCGGACATGAAGTCTCCGTATAGCACTTGCGCTGTCGGCAGGTTGTATATGGCCTTGACCGCCGCTACAAACTGGGCAGGGAACCCATATTTGGCCAGTATGGCCTCCATGAAATTCCAACTCAGCTGTTCAAAAGCTTTCTCTGCATCCAGAGAAAGCAGGAGACCTCTCTCTCCTCCTCTTCTCATAGATTCCACTATATCTAGCACTTGTCTAGTATTGTCAGTACCCTGTCTACCTCTCACAAAGCCCGATTGGTCTGTGTGTACTAGGGTGACAAGGGTGTCTGACATTCTGTTTGCGATGATCTTAGCGAACAGTTTGGCATCTGAGTTTAGGAGGGATATGGGGCGGAGGTTCTTGCACCGGTCTGGGGTTTTGCCTGGTTTGGGTAGGGTTATAATTGTAGCCCTCAACATGTCTTGGGGCAACTGTGCGTTTTGGATTGCGGCATTGGATATTAATTGGAGATGAGGGATTAAAATTGAGCAGAAGGTTTTATAATAGCTGTTTGGTAGGCCATCTGAGCCTGGCGTCTTGTGGGCTGGCAGTTGAGCAATCGCTTGCTCTATCTCCTCCTTATTTATGGGGTTCGTTAGCGACCCCTTTAGTGACTCAGTTAGTGTCATGGTATGTATTTTTGCTAGGTATTCTTTGGCCTCCTCCACTGTAGCATGGTGTTGTGAGGCATCCTCTGAAAGGTTGTAAAGGGATCCGTAGAACTTAGCAAATGTGTTCCCTATTTCTATTGGTGAGATGATTTTATTGTTGAGGTCGTCATTCATGTATGGGATCCTAGATTTTGCTTGCGTGCTTTTCAGTGTGTTTGCCAGTATTTTCCATGCTCTGTTGCCCTGTGAGTACTGTACTTGCTTGAGTTTGTGCATGAGTAGGCTAGTTTTCTTTATATGGGCTTCTCTTATTTTTATTTGAAGGAGTATGATATCTTTATTTGGTGCGGTCTGAAGGCGTTTGTGTATTGTCTCTGTTAAGGTCTTTCAAGGTCTCCTCCCAGTCTTGCATCTGCCTGTCTGACGCTCGTTTAAGGTGTGATGCCTGTTTGATAAACAAGCCTCTCACCACAGCCTTGTGTGGTAACCATATTGTATGTTTTGACGTGTCAGGAGTGTCATTGGTGGTATTGTGTGAGCTGATCGGTCACATAGTTTACAAACGAGGGATTATGTAGCAAGGTTTCATTTAGTCGCCATGGGGTTTGTGGTTAAAGGCAAATTTGTCCTTTAACGTCAGAGTTACGGGGGCATGGTCTGACCACGACATTCTCTCTATAACGCAGTCTTGCACTTGGTTAAAGTGTGGGCCTCCTATATAAAATCTGTCAATCCTCGTGTAGCAGTTGTGCACCGTTGAGAGGTAAGTGTATTGTGTACCTGAGGGGTATAAGGTTCTCCACACATCATATAAATTATGGTTATTGAGTATAGAGGTTAAACGTTTCGCATCTCTTTTGAGTTGAGCTACCCTAGCGGGTGTTTTGCTGGAGGTTGAGTCCAGTATATGGTCTTGTACGCAATTGAAGTCTCCTCCAATGACCAGAATCCCTTCTCGTACCTTGTCTATTTTCTAGAGCTAGAAAGTGAGTTTGTTTCTCATTCGGGGTATATAGGTTAGCTATGGTGTATATCTGCTCATTGATCCTTGCCACTATTATTAGATATCTGCCCTTGGTATCCACTACTTTTTTGATTAGGGAAAAGGACAATTGGTTGCTAAATAGAGTTGACACTCCCCTGGATTTAGAGTCCGCCGTGGCGTGGTATTGGTGGGGGTATTGAAGGATTTGTAACCTGTGAGGGTCAGTGTGTCTGAAGTGTGTCTCCTGAAGACATAATATGTCTCCTTGTAATTTTTTGACTTCTCTATAGAGTGCATGGCATTTCGTTCAGCCCATTGACATTATAAGAAATTATTTTCATTGTAGCCTATTTGTGGTGCCCTTGGGTGTGGCTTACGTGGTAGGTGGATCTCTTGGCGAGGTGTCTTGTGTATAATGGGGTGGGGGGTGGGGCAGGGGAGGAAGGGGAGAGGGGGTGGGGGTTGTGAAACCAGTGAGGGGTAACATTGGCTATACCTTGTGGGGTAGCCGATTCCGCCCGCCGACAGATTAGTATTGGATCCGGTTGTGCTGAGTGAAGTACCCGGTCCCTGGGGGTTTTAGGTGCTGCGGCTCAGATAACTGCACTCGACACAGGCGGAGCTTTGACCATTAATAGCATTTGATTTTGTCCTGCCCGACACATTTGTCAACTATATACAGTGTAACCAAACATAATATGAACAGCAGAATATCCCGTCCTATACATACAAAAATATAGCCCACATTAGGTGGGGTAGTGAACAGTGTCCGCTTCTGTATAGGAAACCCCCAAGGAGTGGTGTCTGGCTGACCTGGTATGACTCTGTCCAAATGGTTTAAATTGGTAAAATCTATAGGTTATAGAATTTATAGGTTACTGGGTACCAGTCCTATTTTGAGTGCTTAGTGTTGTAGGATCTCTCTCATTTCGCCTGTACAGCACTGTCTGGCAGCTGGTGAAGTGTTCCAATGTTTGTGGAGTTCATGTTGGGTTTTGCCCTGTGTTCCAGGATTTTCAGGCGGGGATAGGTGAGGTGGGTTTCACACCTCAGTGTGTCCTTTTGGAGGCTGGTAGGTTAACTCAGGTACTTGGCGGTTGTCACTGGGTATCAAGAGCTTTGCTCCTGCGTAGCGGCCGTGATTCTCCTCTGCCGCTTGTTTGTAACTGTGGCGGTGAGTGTGGGGTCGAGCGAAGTACTCCATGAGGGTTCCTTGGGCCTTGCAGATTAGTGAGCTCTTTGTTTCTTTCCTTGTTACGCTCCTACCGTCGGTCTATGGAGTGAGGAGGTAGACCCTGCTGGGGGTATGTCCCATTCTTGTAGGAGTTGGAGTCCGTCTTCTGGGGTGTAGACAACCGTAGTTTGCCTGTTCCTGGTCACTAGCAGCTTAGTGGGGAAGCCCCAGCGGTATGGGATCTGCTGGCTCCACAGTGCCCCTGTAACAGCTGCAAACCCTCTTCTCTGAGCCAGTGTTGCTGGCGACACATCAGCGAAGATGTAAATGCTTTTAAACTTTTCCGCCATGTTGTTGGTGTTGGGGCTGGCTTTCAGAATTTCTTCTTTTATATGGTGGTAATGAGCCCTCAGAAGCACGTCTCTGGGCGCTGTTGGCGGTGCTGTTCTGGCTTTCCTCACCCTGTGTATTCTGTCTAGCAGGAACATTTCAGCCGGGATGTCTGGGCACAGGTTTCGAGATCCACTGTGTATGCTTGCAGGTCGCATACTGGCACTGTTTCCAGGATTCCCCTCAGCCGCAGGTTATTCCGACGGGAACGGTCTTCGAGGTCGGTAAGTTTCGCTTCGTTCATGTTTAGCCTAGTTTTCATGTGGTGTAGCTGGGCAGACAGGGATTCGTGAGCTGCAGCCTGCTCCTCTGAAATGCCTTCCAGGGCTGTCGTTCTGAAAGGTGACATCTTGGATGTCTTTTTGTATGCCTGCTATGGAGGTTTTGGAATCAGTTGTCCTGACTGTCCGTCCAGCATGGCTTGGAGCTTGGATTCCGTCAGCTGGTTGTCGTACCTTTTTGGGCCGTGGGTCAGGGTGAATGAGACCCGGCTCTCCTCTGAGTCTTGGTCGCCATCTTCCTCCAGGCCTTCTTGCAGACTCTGCGTTTTCGTCTGTTTTTTTGCTGTGAAGAACGCTGATTTGTCGGTCTTCTGCTTGCATTTGTGGTGAGACATGTTTTATTGGGTCACCCCGCGTTTTTGGTCGGGTTATCTGCCGAATGTGTCGGGCTGGAGCTACTTGTTATGTCCGCCTGTGGAGGAGCTGTTAGGTTAAGCGGCCATTCCTCGTGGCGTTCAACTCCACCCCCCCCGCATATGAGCTATTTTGAATGGGACAAGGTATATGGGAATGGCAATTCCTGGGCCCTAGACTATATTCTATATTCTTGAGACAGGGAACATCAAAATATGTGGATCAAGTAATGTGTTCCCCTGTAACACCAACACAAGTCCATAGAACAAATAGTCCTCTATCTACATACAGTTTGTCTTCTCTGGACTCCATTCTGTAATTACAAACTATTCATAATCTTGAACCCTAACTTTCTGTTTCTGAATAACATTCTGTAATGAAACAATTTGAAACTTAATCTCCATCCTGCAAAAGAACCCCATCATCTAATGACATATGCTGCATGATTGAACCACATCCTATAATGACAAGTATAATGATAATATATCTCTCTGAACGCTGGATTTCACTGTACTGAAATGCTGCCCCAACTTCCTCTTGTAACTTACCTCCATCACGTAACCATTAACACACCATTTGCTTACTAGATAGGTAGACTTGATAGATCATGATATTTCATCTTTGTGAAATTTTCTCCTACTAACTCATTAAAATTTCCATGAAATCCTCTTTAATTTTACATCTGACCACTTAAATTCCTCTGACAACTTTTATATGAACTTTAATTATCTCCTTTTGATTATAAGTTCACAAGCCATAATGAAAAGCACCTTAAATAAATTTGATACAAAGGATTTTAAATGCTCAGAACACTCTAATACCTCTGTATCAGTATGTTTGATTAAAAACTGCATTGTTTGCAACTCTTCAATTGTGCATAATTACTCATTTTTGTATCTGAATGAGAACACAATTTTAAAAAAAGGTTAAAAAAAAGAATATATGTGACAAAGAGTTAAAGCACAGGTACATTTCATTTCACATACGGCTCTTTTCCCATTACAATTGATATGCTGCTCACAAACTATTTCAGATTCAGAGCTTTAAAAAAAAAAAAACACTTTCCACCACTTCAATAAATGTATTTAAAGGTTTAGTTTGGCAAGGGCTGTGTGACTCTGTGAACTCTCAGCAGATAAATCAGTGTCCAGGTCTTGGGACATTACAGTTTTTCATTGCCATCAATGACATTTATTAAATTATCTTTGCTGTGAAACATCCCACCCCACGCGTTCATCTTTCATGCTGAATTTAAAGTCTTGGTGCTGACACTCAAAGTGAGTTATCTTGAAAAGAGAGTGAAAAGTCAGCAGGAATATCCTGCACCCAACTTATAATAGTACAAGAAGGTTGTGAGTGTTGAATAGCAGATAGAAAACTCAACAGAAAAGCTTATGAATCAATGCTAAAAGTAACAGTAGATACATTCTACCTACTTGTAGAACCTTCATGGTAACAATTGCATTTCTAATAATATACAGACCAGTTTTTTTTATCATGAACTTCTACCTAATCATAAAAAAAGCATCTGGAATCATGACATACTATAAAATATGCTCCATGAAGGTAAAAAATGGACATTAAAAACCATATAGATCTTAAAGAAGGCTACCATTCACTAAGACCCTTAGAACCAAGATGACTGAAAAGACGAGGTAGTGGGAAACAGAAAAAATAATTTGCGACAACAGCCTGAGGATTATTAGAGCAGTAGTGGTGGCTCATGCCCAAAAGTAGAGTAGTATTAAAGGCTAACCAGGATTAAGACTGTGAAGAGTATATTTGATGCTTTTTTAGGTGCTTACTAGTTGCATCGGGGTGAAATCAGATACTATAGAAGATATTCATCACATGTGCTCATCGTTATTGCTGGCAATGGAGTTACAGACACAATCTCTGCATTTTTTAAGTATGAACAAATCCCGCATGCTCCACAGAAATACATTATGCAGACAAAAATATTGGGGCAGCTGGCCACAGGGGCAGAGCGACAGCTCGCAGGGCCCTCGGGTGGTGGGTGATCGGGGGCCCCCCTCCTAGTGTGTTTTTTTTTGGCTAATTCTACTCTTCCCCCCTTTATTTGTGTGGCTCTTACACAGATTTTATGTGAGCACTGGCCAGCACCCAGAATGGCTATGTGAGAGCCGCACAGTCATGACTCCCACACCTGCAGGGCTCCCAAACACAGACAGACTTACTTTTAAGAGATTAATCCAACCAAAAATAGTGTTTTAATAAGTTACCGTATATACTCGAGTATAAGTCGAGTTTTTCAGCACATTTTTTGTGCTGAAAAACTCCTATTCGACTTATACTCGAGTCAAGGTCTGTACTATGGCAACTTACATTGCCATTATACAGACAAGGACTTGTAATGAGCCCGGCGGTCCTGTTGGGGGCTGGCAGCGAGCTGTAACTTACCTTTCCTGCAGCTCCTGTCAGCTCCCTTCTCTTTTCTCCGGTCCGGTCAGCTCCCCTGTCAGCTCCAGTGTAAGTATTGAGAGAGCCGCGGGGTCAGAGCATTGCCACGGGTTACCATGGCAACGCTCCGCGTGGCACTCAGACCGCGAGACTTACAGTGGAGCTGACAGGGGAGCTGACCGGACCGGAGGAGAGAGAAGGGAGCTGACAGGAGCTGCAAGAGAGGTAAGTTACAGCTCGCTGCCAGCCCCCCTCCTACACAGCCCATCCACTGGACCACCAGGGAATGAGACCCCCCCCTTCCTGGCCATGTATCAAGCAGGGAGGGGGGACACAAATAAATAAATACAAGATTAAATAATATTTTAAAAAATTAATAATATTAAAAAATAATAAAATAAAAATAAAATATTAATAATATAACCAAAAAAATATTAAAATAATAATAATAATTTAAAAAAATAAATAAAATGCTTACCCCCCCACCAAGGCTCTGCATCACATACACAAACACACTCTGCATCACACACACTCTGCATTCATATACACACACACACACTGCATTCATACACACACACTGCACTCATACACACACACACTGCAGTCATACAAACACACACTGCATTCATACACACACCCTGCACCCATACACACACGGCACTCATACACACACACACTGCATTCATACGCACACACACACACTGCATTCATACACACACTGCACTCATACACACACACACACTGCATTCATACACACACACACACTGCATTCATTATATACACACTGTAAATAAATATTCAATTGATATAATTTGTTTGGGATATAATTTTATTTAGAAATTTACCAGTAGCTGCTGCATTTCCCACCCTAGTCTTATACTCGAGTCAATAAGTTTTCCCAGTTTTTTGGGGTAAAAGTAGGGGTCTCAACTTATATACGGGTTGACTTATACTCGAGTATATACGGTAATCAGTTTTCTTGTTTTACCTGTTGTATAGTGCTGCAGCATATGTTAGCACTATAGAAGAGATTGTAATTAATGCGCGTGTGTAAGGAGACTGTATGTAGTATTGCAATGGTGAGAATCATGCTTGTATTGTGTGTGTGGAGAGGCTGCAGTGGTTTTGCATGTGTGGGGATGCTGCTTATGGGATTGTGTGTATACAGTGAGGATCCTTGTGGGTTTGCGTGTGGGGATTTGGCTGTTTCCAGTGAGGTATGTGTGGGGAGAGGGCTGGTTGTGTTGCAATTTGATTGGAATAGATGCTGTAGTAGGCATCTGGGGGTAACTGGAGCTGTAGTATGTTTGTGTGTGTGTGTTTGTATGGATAATGGAGGCTCTACTGTATGTGGGGCATATAAAGTTTGCAGTGTGTATTGTAGGGCTAGGTCATGTAGTGTGCATGTGGGGGGATAGGGCTTTAGTAAGGGCAGGGGGCATACTGACTGCGGTTGGTTCAGGGGGTCATAGAGGCTGCGGAGGGCACAAAGAGGGATAGAGTCTCTAGCCTGGGGGATGGGACTGTAGTTGGTGCATCAGGGTAGGGGCAGCAGTTTGCCTTAGGGTAGTAGCTGTAGAGGGTTGCCTAGGGGTAGGAGTTGTAGAGGGTTTCCTGGGGGTAGGGGCTGTATTGGGTGCCTGGGAGTTGGGGCAACTGTGGGTGCCTGGAGGTGAGGAATATAGTTGGTGCCTGGGGTTCCTTACCTTTAGAGGATGCCTTTGGGTAGTGGTTGTAGATGGTTCCTGAGGGTAGGGGCTGTAGCGGGTGCCTTGATGTAGGGTTTCTATAGGGAGCCTGTGGGGATTGGGACTGTAGAGGGTTGTCTGGGGGTAGGGGTTGTAGAGGGTTGCCTGGGATTATGGGCTGTAGTGAGGGCCTGAGTGTAGGGGCTGTATTGGTTGCCTGGGCATATGGGCTGTATTAGGTTTCTGGGAGTAGGGGCTGCAATGGGTGCCTGGGGGTATGGGATGCAGTGGGTGCCTGGGGGTCTCTACTTGCAGAGGGTGCCTTAGGGTAGTGGCTGTAGAGGGTGCCTGGGTGTAGGGACTGTAGTGGGTGCCTTGATGTAGGGTCTCTATAGGGTGCCTTGGGGTATGGGCTTTAGTGCATGTATCGGGTAGAGGATCTATAGGATGTCTGGGGGTATAAGGGCTGTAGAGGGTTTCCTGGGGGCAGGGGTTCTATAGGATGCCTGAGGTTAGGGGCTCTATAGGGTGCCTGGGGGTAAGAGCTCTATTGGCTGCCTAGGAGAAGAGGCTGTAGTGGATGCCTGGGGGTAGGGGCTCTATAGGGTGCCTGGGGGTAGGGGCTGTTGTAGGTGCTTGGGTTAGGGGTTCTATAGGGTGCCTAGGGGCAAGGGTTGTAGTGGGTGCCTTGTAGTAGGGGCTCTATTCGGTGCCTAGGGGCAAGGGCCGTACAGGGTCCCTGGGGTGTATGGCTCTATAGTGTGCATTGGGTGAAGAGTTACAGTGGATGCCTAGGGGTATGGGCTCTATAGGGTGCCTGGGGGCAAGGACTGTAGTGGATGCCTGGGGTATTGGCTCTATGGCGTGCTTTG